ACATATAACACATGTAGGTGTTGAAATTACCTGAAAAAATCGAAGCCCAAGCTCGATTTTGGTTGATTTCGAAATTTTTCGAAAAAAATAAAATTTTCTGAAATTTTTGGAATGGGGGGTAATTGGAGAGAATTTCGAATTTTAGGGGTTTTAGAGAGATAAACTGTTTTTTACTTTGAACGGTAAATAGCACTTATTAGCGAATCTATATATTTATAAGAAGTATATATCTTGTGTGTGTATATATATATATATATATAGGGTCACATGAAATATCCCTCTGATGTATATATAGATTCGCAAACACGCGCGCTTGATTGGATAATTACACCTACCCCCTCAACTATGATTTTTTCTTAGACCTCCACCTTTATGGTGCCAAATTCAACATAGTCATCTAGATTCTGTGAAATGTGTTCTAGTTTGTACTCGTTTTGTGTAAAAAATACAGTTCCCAATGCACCACAAACTGATATATACAAGCTTTAAATCACATATTATGATCATCTTGCTTCATAATGTAGAGTTTGAATGGGATAAAACGGGTACAAAAGTGATAATATTCCATATAATCTCGAAGATTCCACTAAATTTGAGGAGTTGAGGGGGTGGTTGTAATTATCCAAACAAGAGGGGTTGTTTTTGTAATTCGACCATACCTCATGGGGTATTTGTAATTTACCCTATATATATATATATATATATATATATATATATATATATATTTTATTTTTTTTATTATTATTTTTTTTTATACTATTTAATTTTGAAATACAGCGCAGCTGCACTGTATTTGTTGGATGCGAAAGTCAGTGCTCGACAGCCTTTTTCGACACTTCCACTAATATTTATTCCCCCCCCCCCCCAACCTTCACAAATCACCCCCCCTCCGAATTATATACATACACCTATACATACACAACCCCCATATATTCCCTCTGTAAATAATTTCTCTCTCTCTCTCTCTCTCTCTCTCTCTCTCCTCGCAACAGAGCCATGAGTCTGTTCGGCCTCGGCAGGTAAATCTTCCCCCAAAAATCAATCAAATTATGATTGTGATTTCATCTCGTCTCATTGATTTACGTCACATCGATATATATATTATTTTTGTTTGTGTGGCGCTTCAATTTAATTTAATTTAATTTATTTATTTTGTTGTTGGAATTTGTTATGTGTTGCTTTCTTCATTTTGGTCGTCAAAATCAAAACGTGCCGATTGGTTATTAATGCAATTTGTTGAGGGAAGAAAAATTGAATATTTATAGTTTTTTCTTTTAGTTGTTTAAAAGGTTTAATTGCTTTAATTTGGCCTCTTCACGAATACAAAAAAGATCTAGCATCACGAACTCTGATCGATGATATATACATGGAACGACATACATCCCGGTACCGATTGTAGCTCGAATACAAGGCCTCGTTTGGTTGGGGAAATTAGCCATGATTAACTAAATAAATTGGACTTTATTTGATGTTTTGTATCCCCAATAACTTGCCCGCAAATATTATGTTTGGACGTCCGGGAGTCCGATAGAATAATTTGGTTTTCATTAGATTATTTAATCTTATCTTGTCAACCAAACGAGGCTCAAATATATGAAATTTAAGATTAATTGAATGAGGGGTGTATTGAGGATTTACAGATTTTTTTTCAAATTATATAAACTTCGATTTTGTTGTTCTGGAATGGAATACAAGTTTATCCCTCAAACTGTCTCGACTATGTCTTTCTGTCAACTTTAATCAGGGTGGTGATACTATCTTTTTAGATGTCGGTTATGTAACAAGTCGATTTTCCACCATACATCAAACTGCATCTGGGATTAGTTTTATTGTGTCAAATCGGTTTGTAATTGCATCTGATGATCGGTATCTCTTATAATGTTAAACTTGTTATTTATAAATTTTCATTTGTTATTTATGAACAGGAACCAAAGAACGTTCCGCCCCAAAAAAAGTGCACCATCGGGCAGTAAGGTGAATTTCTTTTGTTGTGATGAACTCACCCCTATTGCCTTTTTCAATTAATCATGCTTCGGATTGGCTTATGATCACCTTTGTTGAATTGACCTGTGTGACAATTTGGTTTATTAGCTCTCGTGTTGTGATATGTGTTTTTAAAGATTTTGTTGGGGCATATGCGTCGTCATTTTCTTGTTACACTAGGTATATCGTTTTTTTTAAGGTGTATCGTTAAATTGTTTGTGTTTGTTGCAGGGGGCACAGCTGAGAAAGCATATCGATGCCACTTTAGGTAGTGGAAACTTGAGAGAAGCTGTAAGGCTGCCACCTGGAGAAGATATAAACGAATGGCTTGCTGTCAACAGTTAGCTCTCTCTCTCTCTCTCTCTGATACTGTGATGTTGTCGTCAATAAGAACATATTGGAAAGTAAAAAAAATCTGCGTTACGATATATGATTTTCAACACTTGTGTGCCACATGCCTACTTTTTGTTACCATTTTTCCTATCTGCTATAAGCTTTACTCGACGCATCGAAATTGAAAGAGTTATTTGATTTTTTTCATTTTGTTTTTTTATTTTCAGCTGTAGATTTCTTCAACCAGGTGAATTTGCTTTACGGCACCCTCACAGAGTTCTGTACATCCGAGACTTGCCCTACAATGTCTGCTGGCCCTAAGTATGTTGAAATTTGATTTTTTTTTTTCCGTTTCAATTTCTTTTTCAAAAATAAAAATTAACATGATATAAATTGTTCTCAAATCATAGCAAAGAAAGAGAATATACCTTTCGATTTTTCTCGTTTGCTAGGAGTTTTGAGGGCTAATAATAACACGTACTTGGTTCAATTTTTAATATTTACGTTTTGCATGTTGTTGAACTTCTACAAAAAGAGAAATGTTCATAAACTGCCGAAACATTTTTGCAGGTACGAGTACAGATGGGCAGATGGTGTGCAAATCAAGAAACCTATCGAAGTTTCAGCTCCTAAATATGTCGAGTATCTAATGGACTGGATCGAGACACAATTAGACGACGAGTCCATATTTCCTCAAAAATTAGGTACTAACAGAGTCTAATTTACGTCTCTTACTTTTCTGTCGAATTTGTACGAGCATCTTCTATTTTATCCGTTTACGTCTGACGAAAGAAATTGTTATAGGTGCACCATTTCCTTCAAACTTCAGGGATGTCGTGAAGACTATATTCAAACGTTTGTTCCGTGTATACGCGCATATATATCACTCTCATTTTCAGAAGATCGTGAGTCTCAAAGAGGAGGCTCATTTAAATACCTGCTTCAAGCACTTCATACTTTTTACTTGTGTAAGTTTGTAAGGCTTGATTTATAGCTTCTTATTAGTGTCGTTTCGTTTCAATTGTCCCTATATTTCGGGTTTTTTTTTTTCTTATTATTGGCGATATATTTAAATTTTTCTAAAAGACGGGGAGAAGAAATAATTCCGAAATGGATTTTGATTGTGCAGGAATTTGTGCTGATTGATAAGAAAGAACTTGCTCCACTTCAAGAGCTCATAGAATCGATTGTCCCTTATTGAACTGACCGTATTTCGAGTGTTTTGCTTACAACCTCGGTAACAAATGATCCTCTGCAGTGTAACAAGTTTGTGTTGTATGTATATTATTCTTTCAAGGACCAAAATTGTGTGTTCTACATCATAGTATTTATTGCTTGATATATTTGTTAAAAGAATATTGTTTAAGATAATGTTTGCCTATTTATTACCAGTTCTAATTTGCACAGCATAAGACGTTTTGTGTTCATTGGATTCCATCTTGTATTATTTAAATCTGTTATATTCTGATATTATATGTGATGTCTATAAACATTTTATTTAATAAAATTGAAAGATAAAATAATATATTAATTGTTTAGTAATCCTCTATTAAAATTAATTTCAGGGGAGGGGTGCTACTTATTTAATAAAAGGATAAATTACAACCACCCTTTTGAGGTATGATTAAATTACGAAAAATTCCCTAATGTTTGGGTAATTACAACCACCCATCAACTACAAATCTTCTTACACGTACATCCTTGCGGTTTCAAATTTAGTAGAATCTTTGCGATTATATGAAATATTATCACTTTTGTATATGTTTTTATCCCATTCGAACTCCACATTTTGTATCAAAATGATCATAATGTGTATTTTTTGGCTTGTATATATCAGATCGTGGTGCATCAGAAACTATATTTTTACACAAAACGAGTACAAACTAGAACACATTCCACGGAATCTAGATGATTATGTTGAATTTAACACCGTAAGGGCGGAGGTGTAAGAAAAAATCATAGTTGAGGGGTACATGTAATTATCCAAACAAGAGGAGTTTTTCCGTAAATTAATCATAGCTCAGGGGTGGTTGTAATTCACCCTGAATAAAATAGTAGAATTTAGTCGACTTAGATTTTAGTAACTGGTTTGAGAAAAATGTGAATCTTACCAACCAAACGTGTTAGTATCTACTTTAAACGACACTTAAATGTAGAAATTTAAAGCATGAATACAAATGTCATAACTCAACTTTTAGCCTCATTTCTAATTTGACTATACCCCTAAAATTACAAATTACAAAAAAAGTGTATAAAAAATAAATAAAATTGCCTTGATCAATTTTCAAACCTCAGCTGAGCTCGCCCGACCGAATTTCGTCTCCGCGTATATACACGCACCGCCAACACCAAACAGAACACTCAAAACCTGAACGAAAAGCTGGAAATTAGCCAACAACTCCCCGTGTATTTCATGCTCGATCGAACTACAAGTGATCTCGTTTTCTTCTAGAAGGCATCCTTTCGGCATCATCGATCCGTACAGAGTGAAAGCCGTTTGGTAGAACCAAAGGCCTTGGAGCGTTATAGCAACGCCGCTGCACAAATCCACAGGAAAACTGGCCGGAAAAAGGGCTCCGGCAACAGTGGACAGTATGCATAGGCCGATGAGGAGGACGAGGATAAAATGGTAATATCCCTCGAGACCCTTGTGAGAGGTGGAGTGGAAATAGAATAAGAGATACTCGGCTGCGAATGCTGACGAGGCGATAAAGCATAATGCTCCTTCTGGCAATGGAAGAAAGCTGAGGAACCAAAAAAAAAAGAACAAATTAAAGAAAATTGTAATAATTACAGAAATCAAGAATCTTATGATATAATGTGTGTTTTCAACATTAACACAACCTATTGCAAAACAAAAAAAAAAATGTAATATCAACTTGTTTTCTTTCCGAGATTTTGTAGCGTTTATACGAGCGAAAAGTAGTTTGTTCATCTAAATTTACTATTCTACCCCATCCTCGTGAGGACAGTAGGATGAAACATATTAAGGGGTGCAAATCGGAGATTGAATCTGAATTAGTACTTTCGGAAAAATTCCAATTTTGTTTCGGAAGTGAAAAAATAATTCCAGTTCTATTCTAAAAAAACCGGAAAAATTAGAAATCGGAATTTCGGAAATTGGAATAATTGGAAACGGGAAATTGAAAAATAGTTGTTCCAAAATCGGAAATTTTTGGATCGGAAGCGGTGGAATCCGGAACTTCCAACTTTGTAGTCACCTATAATATGAAATACATAATAAATTAATAATATTGATATTATAAATGTTATTTTCCGAAATTAAAATCGGAATCTAATATGTATTCCAATTCTGATTCAAAACAGCAATCGAAAAAATGGCAATCGGAAAGATTTGGATCAAAATCGGCGGAATTTCGGAAATTCCGTTCCAATATCCACCCCTAACTTACATAAAAGACATCATCATTTTTGGTAGTTAAATCAATCACTTAAATAATGTTTTTACCGGTAATTTAGCTACTAAATAAACAAGTCCTATACCACGATTCAAAGACAAAGCGACCATAATCAGCTAAATGTAAAAGAATCAAATGTAGAAAAAATTGCCAACCAAGAAAAAAAGAGAGAAAGCAAAATCAATTAACCTTGTCTTCTCGGAGAGGAGAGCAACGAGGCCGAAGATGAAGAACATGAGCAGCATACCCGAGTGCTCGAAATCGTTCATATGAGACGGGTTCAAAGCTCCATTCACAACAATCTTGAGATGAGTCGAATACAAAAACTCTATGCAAAGATCAATGAAAGATCCAACAGCAATAACGTAGAGCTCCAAGTACTTGACCCGCCCACCGAAACCGTTAACGGGGCTCCAAACCCGAACGCGGAACGATTTGGGATTCGACGCATATCTAAATACGGAGCTCCAAATGTGCCATATACCAACAACTAGAAATAATGTTCCCGGAAGCATATGCCCCTTGAAAGAACCCATCTTTTCTTGACCAAGCCTTCTATTTTTTTTTTTTTAATTTTGATAAATGATATCTGCAAGTTCTTTGGGATATTTTATCAAACACCAAGACTTCACCTTTTTTCAAAATTGAGAAGTAGTAATCAAATCAAGAAATACCCCTTTTTTTGTTTTCCAATCACTTATTAGCTTGCTTTGAATTCAGCATGACACATAACCTGAAAAAACACACACACACACACAGTGGGGCTGATGGGACTTGCACTAAACAGTCACATAAGAGAAAAAAAAATAAAAAAAAAATTGAAAGCTGCCACACAGAGATCTATGATCTAATCTATATATCTATTTGGGTAATTTCATTGAAAAGCTAAAAATGAAGAAAATAATAATGTAAAAATTCAATCTTTTTTAGATGGGATTGATTGATTCAATTATAAAATAGAGATTAATATATATGAAAGAAGAAAGATATGTACCAGCAGCAGCAAGAACTTGTGTAAGTCTCTATTTTCAATGTTGCGAGCAGAGTCAGAAAAGAAAGAAAGTTGTGATAATGGGGGGAGATCAAGAAAACTCGGACGGCAATAATAAAGACATCATTGATTGCTAAAGTCTTTGGCTTTGGGTATATTAAATATTAAATATTAATACTCTCTCTCTCTCTCTCCTCTTTCTCTCTCTAGGAGTGCAACACCAGATAATAACTATAAAAAAGGGGACACAGTTGGAGAGGAAGTTTTAATTTTTTAACTTTTTTATTTTTTTGACTGTGTTGCATGGGAAATGATTCTTGTGGACATGCAAATGTTACCATTTTCTTTTTAAACAGATTTTAATTTAGGGAAAAATGGATGTTATTTTATAGAAAATCATTCATGCATAAACTGTTAATTACTATTTTTGGTCAGTAAACTGATCATCTGGTTATTTTTTTTTTTTTTCTACTTCATCTAAGGCAACGGGGCAGTTTGATTTATAAGTCGACTCGTTGATCATGAAACGGTTATGATTAGGGTCGACAATTTGGATCTGGTTTCATGGATCCGATCAGATTCGATTTGCAATATAGTTATAAGTAAATTGGACCGAACCGAGTTTACAACTTTTCGAAACTGGATCCATGTGGATCCAATTTTGATTTGTTGAAAATCCGACAAAAAATAAAGTGTGGCGGCCCAATCAAGACGAATTGAATCCGAAAATAAATTTGTGAGAACAAAAGTTATAATTAAGGTATTTTTGAAATTAATTTACCTAACTTTGATCATTAGGGTAGAGGTCAAATCATGTCATCTACTTCCTTAATTTGTAACTCTTTATAATAAATTAAAAAAAAAAAATCCTTAAATAACTTATATAAGTGAATAAAAAACAAAAGTTCGATTTGCATGTACTCAAAATAGACTATGAGCTATTACAAGAAGTAAAATAGATTATAAGAAGGAAAGAAAAAGCAATTAATCGGCAACCCCACATCTTTTAGAGGAGTAAACCAAATAAATAGTTTATTTGATTTGGTGAAATGTATCTAGTGATTAATAACCGTTGATCTGCACATAATCACACATTTATATGTATATGTATACATTAGTGGATAATTATTTAACTATATTGTTAATTAAAAATTACCCGATGTATATGACTCGGTGTAGCATTGCAGTAACCCAAGTAAAAATAGTAAAAAAAAAAAAAAAAAAAAATATTAAAAAAAACAAAATAGATCCTATTTATGTTGTTTTTGCCTAATTTCAAACTATCCATGAACTTTGCCGGCGTTTTCTACTGGTACAATTCGGTGGGACTTAAAAAATCAGATCACATATTGTAAAAAATACAAAAAAAAAATAAATAAATAAACAAAAAACTCCAGTTTTCTCACACCTCTCTCTCTCTCTACTCTCTCTCACACACACATACGCACACTTGATTACAAACATTCATCCGCGCATTTATTCACAGATACGTCCGTTTGTTGGTGAAAGTTCTGATTCGAGAAGATTTCGATACAACCGCGACGAATGTATTTCTGGTAATTTGCACGTTTTTTGTTTGTGTGTGTGCGAATTCAGTAATTTTTATGCGTTCGTTATATCGCCATTTTTGTGCATTCAAGTGTGCGTGCGTGCACAGCCGCGCATTTGCGCACGCGGAAATTCTCACCTTTTTCTGTTGCTCTAACCTTTGAAAATTTTCGGTTGTTCCAGGAATCCGACGAAGAAGATCATAGGCAATTGAATCCGTCGCTATCAATTTTTAATTTTTTTTTCGTGGAAGATCCGTGGAGAAATTGCTGTCAATTTTGTATTGGATGTGATCTTAATTTCTTTCGGATTAAAGTGTTCCAGGATTTTTAGAAATTTGGTGTGTTTTTTTCTTCTCTGAGTTTTCCATTGGAGTCTTTCCTTTTGCTTTTGATTTTGATTTTTTTTGAATGATGACTGATCCAGTTCGACCGGTTTAGGTTTTGCTGAACACTGGGGAGTGAAGAGCTACCTGCTGAGTTTCCGGGATATTCGGAATTTTGAAATGAAATAAAAAATTGGTGATGTTTTGAGGAGAGTATAAAACAAGATTATTTTAAGAGCAAGAAGACAAAGTCAACTGACTGAATTTTGAGGAAAGCTTAATATCTGGTGGAGATGTCAAATTCGAAGGTGGTTTATGAAGGATGGATGGTTAGATATGGACGTAGGAAGATTGGGAAATCATTTATTCACATGCGATATTTTGTGCTCGAGTCTCGATTGTTGGCCTATTACAAGAAGAAGCCCCAAGACAGTGTGGTAATTACATATGGTGTCTGTTTTCATTTAATATTTTCAGTCCATATATTTAGTGAACTATGTAGGTATTGTTACCGATAATGTAGAAACAGTTATCAAAATATTCAGTTGCTGCTTTTTTTGATGTGGTAAGGTACCGATCAAGACTCTTCTTATAGATGGCAACTGTAGGGTAGAGGACCGAGGACTGAAGACTCATCATGGACATGTGAGCTATATTTTGCATTTGTTATTTACTGCTCCAGTTACTGGATTGTATCTTATATGCTTCTGAGATTGATCGAGCTAATCAATTGCAGGTTGTAATTATTGTTTTACTCGTAATCCCGTAAATTTGTGATAAGTTGAACTTATCCTTGCTTCAATTAGTTGAACATCTAAATGTAAATAGTATTGCCATACCTGCCTTATATTTATCATTTTGACTTACTGAAAGAAGTGTATTAATTTGATAAAAACAATATTCCATGTTTTTAATATGTTTATTTTGTTGAACTTATATAATTTGAGTCGAAGACTTGCATAAGAACATGAAACAATGTGATGTTACAGGATTGGTCAAAATAGCTATTTATCTGTAGATTAGAATGACTGCGAGCAATATGTTTCTGGTAATAACTGTTAATGTCTGCCTACTACAGTAAGTTTTGTTTCTATTGCCAAAAAAGGGAAATTCTTCTGGATGAAATACTTTTCCATCGATTCTTGCTATGTTCTCTTAATGGAAGATTATAGAGAATGTATGGGTAAATACGAAAATGATTAATGTGAACAGAAGTTTTGTTTCTAAATGTTGATTTATGCATTGAAAGTTTATGTTATTATGTTCTGTGGGGCAGATTTTCCATTAATTTCTGATGAAGTTCCCGTTGCCACTTTTATAGTTTTATCGCATCTTTCTGTTGGCTTGACGTTAGGTAAAATCAGTGTTATTTTTTTGTTTTCTGGATATCTTCGGCTTTTCTTTAGCACTTCAGAGCTCTCCCCATTTTTAGTATACGAGATTTTTAACGCGTCAGAACACGTTTTACTGATCCAAACACTCAGCACATGTTTTCCGCCACTGCATTTAAATTTTACAAGCTTTGATTTGTTTGCAGATGGTCTATGTTCTGTCTGTTTACAACAAGAAAGAGAAGCACCAAAGAATGACGGTATGTACATTTGAGTTTCAATAATATTACTACAGTTGTTTGACTTTGTTAGCATAACAATTTATACTGGTCTCCGCTAAGAAATCTCACTAACGAAGCTTCCTATAACCATTTTCATTTACACGTGGTCGTGCACCTTTGATAAAATTAAGATAAGCCGATAATGTGCAGAAGAGATCTCGTTTGCTATTTGCTAAATCTGCTATATCGTTCTTACTTTCTGCACAATTTTCATCCAGTATAGAAGTACTCGTTAGTTTCCTTTTGGTTGATTTCAATCCATCTCATTTGAAGTCATTTAAAATCTTTCACCGAAATCCTCACGTCAAATCCAAATCCTTCCATCCAAATGCAACCTTTTCTATATAATATTAGCATAAAAATATGTTTGATGGATGATTTATTCTTTTGGTTTTATTATTTGTTCTCAAGCCTGTGATCACGGTTTACTGGGAATTCAAACTTTTCTTGTCCTTTCGTTTTTCCCTTTTCTGGTAGCTTACCATATAGTATTGCATAATTTGCATTCATTGACTTTGTCAAACATGCGAGGATACCATTTGATGTTTTCTGGTAGCATACCGACATGAGATATTTTGGTGAAATAGGTGAAAAGTATGAAATTTTTCTATTGGAAAAATCTATTTTGTTTATCTTTAATATGTAATTAACCATAAGAAAACCATGTGTTGTATCAATATCATTCTTTAAGAAATTGTATTTGGATTAGTAAATAGTGATATTTACGGGTTGGCTCCATGTTTAGTAATGCATGATGCATTTCTTTCAAAGGAGTGACTGAAGTTTCTAGCTCATGTGATAATAATTTTTAAGGGATAGTAATGGCTGTTTTTTATACTCCAGTTTTCAAGCAAACCAAAGAGAATTAATGAAGTTAAGGATTATGGACATTTATGTCCACATGTGAATTAGATGAGTGACAAATTGAATTAGGAACTGTGAAGACGGCTGATTTTGGTTCAATTCAAGTAAACAAAGATATTTCAGGAAGTTGAGTAATGGACCGTTGAGGTCGAGTTACAATGTGTACCACATATTAGCCTGGATATAAGCACCAAAAATCTTTTCGAACCACTATTCATTTGGGTGTCCGACCTAGCTCTATATGTCCTTTGCTCCCTTCCAGGTTTATATCAGGACTTAAACCTGTTTAAATATTTATATTTTTTGTTCAGATGGCAGCTTTCAACATTCAGGAGGCACTTATTTGGAAAGAAAAAATTGAATCTGTTATCGATCAGGTTTTTTCAGTCTTAATCTCACCTCCCGTAATCCATTTTGCGTGCCATAAAGTCAATTTTTGTTTGATTTTTTTTTTTGTGAAGTAGACAATAACTGATAAATGTTGGTGGCATGCAGCATCAAGAGTCACAAGCTACTAATGGTAATATTTACCATTCTTTTGAGTATAAATCTGGGATGGATAATGGGAGAAATGCTTCATCGTCGGATCATGAAAGCCAGTAAGTATTGCTTTACATGTTTATCTGAGTGTATGAGTAGCTTTTCTAAGATTTCTCGCGTAGAATACTAATTTTAATTCTTCTAATTTGCTTTTCTAAACTTCGCAAAACGGGTTTAAGAACAATTTTCTATAGTGTAAAGGTGGTTTCCGTGGATATTGCATTATTATGTTAGAAGTGGATCTGAAAATTGATGGGGAAATAATTGTTGGGGCAGAAGGGGTATGCTTGTAACTTTGCTAGTCTCAGAAGAGTCATCATCCATCTCTAATGAGATAACGGGGTAGCTCTAAAACCCCCTAAATATTGCTTTTACTGACGATTCTTTATAGACTTGGGATAAAAGCAGAGTTTTTCTTATTCGTGGAGCCAAGATCCATCGAACATGAGGATTCAGGGATAGGGCTAACACTAAGACTTGAGTCTGGAATCCTAAATGAGGGTACCTCAAATAGTTTAGTGATTGAGGAAAACAATTTAGAATTCGGTACTGTGCACTAAAGACGTCGTTTTTTAAGTTGCTAATTTTTCATGCGTGGGTAGAATATGGTGCATCTATTAAAGTGCTTTAAAATATATTTTACGCACCAGTACCAGTGTACCACCACGTACCAACATTATTACCGATTAGGATTTCGGAAAGCTAGAGACAACATTATAGCCATGTTTTCAGCCACTCTTATCGGCTTCTTTGGAAATGAAGAAAAGTGGGTGGGATTAGGAAGTTGGAAATGCCCTCTTTCAAGTCTGGATAGTCCCCATTCGGCAATTATATTTCCCTAGTTCTTTCTCATTTTCTTCCTTGTGTATAATAGATTCTTCCCATAATTGTTTTATAAACAGAATCTTATTCAAAACATATTAAAGCTTTGTTTGGTGTTATTTTTGTACTGCAGGTTTAGTGCTGCAGAAGATGAAGATGATTCTCATTCAAATTTGCCGCGCAGAACAACGATAGGAAATGGTCATCCTTGATACCCTTTTTGTCTTGACTATTGTGGATTTCTTGTAACCTTATTGAAATATTATTGCCTATTTTCATGTGGCAGGTCTTCCCGAATCTCTTTTCGACTGGACAAAGGAATTTGATTCAGATTTCCCTAACCATAATTCTAGCAACCAGGCGTTTTCCAGAAAGTACTGGCGCCTTCTTCAGTGCCAAAATGGTATGCTTGTATCCTTAAACTCATGTTAATTTGTGGTCGAAAGTGGGGGATACTTATGAACCATTTAGTAGTTGACAGTGGTACATTTACATATTTATTAAATTGATCATCTTGTTGTGTGGATTTTTAGGGCTTCGGATTTTTGAAGAGCTTCTTGAAGTGGATTTTCTTGTGAGGCCATTTTAATTGTTTTTTGGTATCTAGACAGTGGTTCTTTTTGGGTTTATTCATCAGGTATTTTATTGGTGTAGCCGAAGAGCTGTAGTAGAGCAATGAAAGCAGTTGGGATAGTGGAGGCTACCTGTGAAGAAGTATTCGAGCTGGTAATGAGCATGGATGCAACACGATTCGAGTAAGCTCCTTATTCTGGTTCACTATTATTGTGCCTTCTATTAGTTATTTTCTTGATCTGAATGTCTTTGTCTGTTCAACTAAAGATTTTTCTTTTTCTTTTTGGCTTTTCAGTCACTATAGCTGACAAGTTCTTTTCATCAAAGTCTATGAAAAATGAAATATATTTGTCATGGAATTAAACAACAAAAAGGAAACTTACAGCAAATTCTAGTTTTTCGTACACATAAATTAGAATCTCAATCTTTGCAGTGCACATATAACGAAGTATCATTTATGCAGGTGGGATTGCAGTTTCCAGTATGGTAGCTTAGTTGAAGAAGTAGATGGACATACTGCTATACTATACCACAGGCTTCAGTTAGATTGGTTTCCAACGTAAGGTGTCCTTGTCATAATTTTCTTTCTTTCTTTATTTCTTCTGTATATCTTCCGCTCTCCCCATGCTCTTCCGTAATCAATGTTGAGTTTGGATTTCAGTTGTTATCAGACTGGTGGCCTAATGGTGGACTAAGTTTGTTTTAAATGACATTAAACATGAATATGATCCTTTTTCATCACGCTATCAATGTTCTTTGTCTTTCAATATCTATCTTCGCATCTCTGATCATATTACATTATCAAAACGCAAGTACAATTACTGCAAAACAGAATCACCATTGAAGATGGACCATTTACGTATTAAGCCAATGACACTCGACATTGTTTCTCTGACATAATAGATTACTCTCTTAGTTTCTCTGAGATTGTTTTAGTTAATTTCTGGTAGTTAGAAACGTAAGTGTAATCACCAATTAGTTTGGTTGCAAATTGATGGGCATAATCTGTGTGCCAGTCACCCATAAATGCATTTCTTATATTTCAGTGTTTGCTATGCATTCATTTTTAGTCACCAAGGGAATCATTCATTCTATTCTGTACTATCACAGATGTGTATGGCCTCGTGACCTCTGCTATGTTCGTTACTGGCGCAGAAATGATGACGGGAGTTATGGTAATTGTTTGAGGATTTCTCCTTCGTTTTATTTGCAAAATCAGCCATGCTGGTTTATGAATTATGATTGAGTTTGTTTTCACTCATGTTGTTGTGCAGTTGTGTTATTTCGTTCTAGGGTGCATGAGAATTGTGGTCCTCAACCGGGATTCGTGCGTGCTCATATTGAGAGTAAATTCAACTCAGCTTTACTGATAAGTTGCATATTAAATTCCTGAATATTATTCTCCAAGATTTTCTCTAAAGAGAATTATATTTTCTTTTTCCCATTAATCTTCACCTTTTATGTCTTTCCCATATTAAATGGCTCAACTTCTGCTGATTTCAGGTGGAGGATTTAGTATCTCACCTCTGAAACCTCATAATGGGAGGCCTAGAACACAGGTCCAGCATTTAATCCAGATCGATTTAAAAGGCTGGGGAGTGGGTTATATTTCATCATTTCAGCATCACTGTCTTCTTCAGATGTTAAATTGTGTTGCCGGTGAGATCCTATAGTTCGACTTGTTTACGACAATATTGGCTTTGTAGTTTGAGGTTATTTTTTCCTTATTTTTTCTAGATTCTCCCATGCTCATCATAGTTGACTAATTTAAAAAATTGTCTGTGTTGTGGTGTGTGTGTGGTCCTGGGGATCTCAGATCCCTTGTTCAATTGCTGAAAATGTTGCTTGGTTAACTAGTTTGACCACCTTTTGCTGATTCCGCTGTTAATGGAAAAGAACAGTCTGTGCCAATCACTGAAACCGGAATTTTGGATTCACTTATTTTCAGCAGAAAGGAAACTATCACTTCATTATCCTAGACTGTAGGTTCCAAGAACCAGATCCCTAGATTCACAATTTCCTTTCTTGTTCTGGAGATAATATATAGAGCATAAAACAGCTTGAGGAGAATGGATATTACATGTAATAGCTGTTGAATTATTTCCTTCTAATCCGGATATAAATTCTTAAGCAAAAGTTCGATTGTGGTTACCATGTTGTTGACAGTGGTAACTAATGCTTTCAGATTTTCTGTCACAGGATTACGGGAATATTTTTCTCAAACTGATGAAAGGACCGCTGCCCCCAGGATTCCGGTTATGGTTAATATGACGTCAGTATCAAATTCAAAAAGGAGTAAAAAACTCCACTCGTCTGTATATCATAACGGTCAATCTCTTGATCAAATACACGCAGCAAATAGAAATGCTGTGCTGATGGACGAATACTCTGATGAAGACGAAGATTTTCAGTATGCTGACCAAGAGGTTGTTTTTTACTACTTCTATAATGTTTTTTTTTTTTTTTTTTTTTTTTTTTTTTTTAATGTTTATACTTATGTTTGATTTCTCTTATTTACAAAACTACAGGCTTCTTCACCGTCAGCCACTGAGGTTGAAGACAAAAAAATTGGTGGGTAATAAATATCTTTTGTTTTATTCATGCATTTATAACAAATTATTTACTCTGACATATATATATTGCTCTCTACTGGCAATTCTTTGTACATTTTGAAGCCTCTGAAGAAGAATCCCAAGACCAAGTAGACTTGTCCATTTTCTCGGGTAACCTTCGCCGTGATGGTCATGATAAGGCACGTGACAGTTGGATGTTATCTGATGGGAACAATTTTAGAGTCCGTAGTAAGAATTTCTTCTGTGACAAATCAAAGGTATTCAATAGTTTTGCTTATTTGGAGCAGATTCACGTTGGTTGCATTTCGAACAGCCCAAATTTCTCGACTCAAATCTTATAAAATTTCTGCGCATATTTTTGAAGATTCCTGGCAGTAAACATCTTATGGATCTAGTTGCCGTAGATTGGTTCAAAGATACAAAACGAATGGATCATGTTGCTAGGCGCAGTGGTTGTGCGGCACAAGTAGGTTTCGTTACTTGTGACTGAAGTTTCTGTGATATATAGTATTTCCAGTTAAATAATTATTCACATGTTGCGTGGTTCCTAATTGCTTTATAGTAAGTTCTTACACAAAGTGACCTTCCTTTTAGGTTGCATCAGATAAAGGACATTTCTCTCTTGTTTTTAATCTGCAAGTAAGTTGATTATTTGGCTTTTATTATTATTATTATTTTATTTTTATTTTTATTTTTATTTTTAATAATATTATATGGTGGTCTGAAGATTAACGAAAATTGCCTTGTTCCAGGTACCGGCATCGACAACACACTACAGCATGGTTTTCTATTTTGTAACTAAGGCATTAGTACAAGGTTCTCTCTTGCAACGGTTTGTTGATGGGGATGATGATTTCCGCAATAGTAGACTGAAGCTTATTCCATCAGTACCAAAGGTATCTTTTTTCTGAGTCGAAACATTGCTTCCGTATGTGTTCTTAACTCCATCATGGTTTTGATTTTACTATTAATATTTTTTTTTTCTCAGGGCTCTTGGATTGTACGTCAGAGTGTTGGAAGCACCCCTTGCTTACTAGGAAAAGCCGTCGATTGCAACTATATCCGTGGTCACAATTACTTGGAAGTAAGATTATATATTGTATTTCCATTAACATATCCAATACACCATAAACATTTGCACCCGATTGACGATCGCCAAATTATCATTTTTTTCTGCAGGTTGATGTTGATATTGGTTCTTCCACTGTAGCAAATGGAGTACTGGGGCTTGTAATTGGTGTTATTACAACACTTGTTGTTGACATGGCATTTCTTGTACAGGTCATTTTCTACTTTGTTTAGTATCATCTATATACACACATGAAACGAAACTTGTTTAAAGTCTTACTGTGACGAACTATTCCGTTACTTTTTCGTTGAAGATTAGGCTGATTTGTTGCTTATGAAAATGTTTCTGCTCAGGCTAACACTGCAGAAGAGTTGCCGGAGCGGCTAATAGGTGCCGTTCGAGTTTCTCATATAGAATTATCATCAGCTATAGTACCGATTCTCGAGGCAGATACACCAAATTCAGACAAATCATGACCACTTCCAAATTTGTCAATAACACAGGAAATACTACTAATCAAATATATCTTGTCCATTCATTTTTTCTCTTTTTCCATATCTAGACCATTTTTTATTTTCTATTTTTTTAATTTTTTAATTTTTTAATTTTTTTTCAATTAAACTGACCTTAATGCAGTAAAATGCAGGATTTTGGTTTTACTTCACCATTGCTGTTTGGATCATTGGTAATACTTCTGAACTCATTTTGATAGATAAAGCATTACATATATTGTAAGGGATGTGATAAATGTTGTTCGAGTTTTTAATAATACCGTTTCGACTTCAAACACGATTTTGATTATTTTTTACTCAAAATTTTGCAAAACCCGAAACATAAAAGTTTGTAGGTTTTTCGAGTTAGCTTTCCAATCCAACTTGAATCACCAAAATTGGATGCCGGATGAGAAATAAATGCATTAATCACTGAACACCGTCCGCAACTTTAATGTACTGGTTTATCTAAAATTCAAAATGTGACTCATTCATGTTTAATTTTGTCACACGGCATCCAATCTAGCTGATTAAAGTCGAATTATAAAGCTAGTCCACAAGACTACAGTTTCCATGTTTCGAATTTTACCAAAATCAGACTAGAAATATGTCAAAATCAGGTTCGAAGTCAAAACGATATTATTAAAATCGAAACGACATTTAACATTTCAGATATCGAAAACACAAACAACTCGAAAGAAACATGAAAAAAACTCCTTGACAACTTATTTGCTTACAAGCTCAACCAAAGCTTTCAAAGAAGCATCAGAACTAGAGGGATAACCAGCTTCAAATATACCTCTCAAAGCCATAGCTCTCCCATGAACTTCTCCATCATCCATCAACACCTTAATCCCTTCCATTATATCACACTTCTTCACCATCTCCGCCAATCCGCCGCCACTCGAAACCATATGCCCCACTTTCAGATACTTCACCACCAATTTCGCGTCGTAAAATTGGTCTCCCCTGATCGGCCAGGCCAGAATCGGAATCCCACGCCCGATCGCCTCCACCGTAGAATTCCACCCGCAGTGCGACAGAAATCCACCCGTCGAAGGGTGACTCAGTATCATTAACTGTGGGGCCCACCCCTTTATGATTAGTCCTCTCTCCCCAACCTTTTCCTCCAATCCGTCCGGATAGTACCCTTCTCGGTTAGCATCCGGACCGCGTTTTTTGCCGCCGAAGAAGTTTGCGGGCGGGCCGGATAATCCGGATCCGGGCTGGATCACCCATATAAACGACCGGCCCGATTCCTCCAAAGCCTCCTCCAATTCATCATACTCATCCATAGTCGGGCCCACCTCACTTCCGAACGAAACGTAGATCACCGACCGTTCCGGCTTCGAATCCAGCCATTGGATCACCTCGTCCTCCGTGTAGTTCGACTCGCGCTTCGGCCGGCTGTCCCGGTCGTGGAGCAACGAACCGGTCGATTTCCAGTACGTCTCCGGCAGCAACGGGCCCACACCGAAAACCGGTTTTTTTATCTGACCGTTTAGGTACTCGATAAACAGGCCTTCGAGATCGTCGCACGTGTTGAGCAGCAGAGCGGTCGATCCTTCAGCCTCGTCCAACCACCGCGGCGTCCCGCCCGGTTTGGGTGGACTGAAGTCCATTCCACCACCACCACCTCGCCTGCTGCCGCCGCCATCCGGGCGGCGGTGCAGGTCCTTCCTCTGAATCTCCAAATAGCTCAGGGCCATGGTTTCGGGCAGCCCGGGCAGTGATCGGGTCTCAGTGGGCCCCATATCGTCCACGTGTGCTTTCCATGCAGCGTACTCCAGAGCGGTGGAGCAAGCGCCGGAGGTGAAGAAAGTCACAACAGGTATCTTCTCTCTCATAAAAATCTCTTTGCTCCAGCTCATCATCACATCCATCACCACGCATCCGGGTCGGGTTTGACCCGGATACCTTTGGGCGAGGAAGGACTCGATCCCTTGTCCCAGCTCCTGATGCGGGCGTTTAGCTACCGACTTGGCGGGCACAGCCGGTGGCGGCGGCGGCGCCGCAGTCCCCGGAGGTGGTGGTGAATAGGAGGCGGGGATCTGGAGAACTTCAACGGAAGGGTGGAGATGGAGATTGGAAGGAATGGAGGAGGAGAGATGAGAAGGGATGATTAAAATGGATTTGCAATTGTGGGAAGATAGGTTTTTGCAGAGCTCCACGCATGGAAAGAGATGACCTTGTCCGAAAAATGGCAGAACCAATATATCAGTCGTTGTATTAGCAGCTTCCATTTTTATGCTTCTTGTTGCTTTTGTTCACTAATATTCTTGACTACTATATATCTATATATATACACAAGACGATCGACATCACCTGTTATAATATATATAATATAATACATAAAGGAATTGATGACTCTTGGTTGAGAAGTAAAGAATAGGAGGAAAGAGGATTGGAAAAAGATATTTTTGACTAATTGGTGTGAAAAGGTGCATATACGATTACGTGTAGATCAACGGTTAACAATTACTCGGTTCAGAGACGATAATATGTAGATCTACAATTAACAATCACCGATGCAGAGTATAATTATGTGCATATTTACTGTTAACAATTACGCGCAGATTGCGAGGCGATAATGTGATGAATCATGATCTATATATATATATTTTAAAAATAATAATAGTAATAAAATAAAAATTGTGATGAATCATGATGGATGATGGATCAATAGGAAGAAAAAAAAAATGTGATGAATGATGAATGACAACGCGTTTATTGTGTAATAGTTTATTTGGTGTCGGCTACTAGCACTAGCAACTTTAAGTAAAAGTAATAAATACACGCGCGGGGATTCCAATGCATATGGAACGCGTGGCAATCGTGTTTTTTTAAGTGATCTTTTTGTAACAGCAAAAGATTTTTTTCTTTTGTTATCTCTGTTTCGTTGCCAACAAATTCAGTGAAGAAATTAACAATTTATTTTTATGTTCAACTTTATCTTAACCCATATTTGACTCGTCTAAGTGAATTAGACCAATTGGACATAAGGTCTAAGAAGGCCAATTGAGAAATAGAAACTCAGTCCTGCTAAAAAATGTACATAAAATCTTAACGGGGAGAAAATGTTGTTTGCACCTTACCTCGTGCGTACGACGACACGAGGTATAGTGGTGAGACCTCGGGATCACAGTTTTAAGCGAACTGGAGCTTATTTAACGTAAAAGCCCATTGAATGCGGCTTACGTCCAAATTAATAAGAAGGGAATTATGTTAGAAACTCTAATGAAACTATTTTTCTCTAATGTTCTTTATTAAAAAACACATAATAGTACACTCAAAACACTCATTTTGACTTGATCATCGGGAAACCTGTCCCGGTATCGCAAGAACGACGTTCCACCAAGATTCTGGCATAAACTTGTTGGGCCTAAAGATAAGGCAGTACCAATCACAGCAGAAAACTAAATCCCAACCATAGGGGGTTTAGGGTACAATACCTGAGCGGAATCCGGTTGGATTTCCGTACGTCATTGCCAAAATAGTGATTGTTATGCAGAATGCTGAGGCCTTTATTACTAATGACCTAGTCTATTATGCCACATAATAGAATGATCACTTTGGACAGCATTAACAGAAGCAGATGATTCAGAATGACATACATACATATTTTGCATTCTTATGGCCTTAAAACATAGCAAATTACCCCTCATAATTTTCATGCAACCATTACCCCAACCACCATGAAACCCATCATCTTCTAAGAT